ATTCCTGGCTTGCCATTGCCGCTGGATCCGCATGTGACCAAGTGCTGACATTGAGCATCTTTACAGACGGAGCGTTCCAGCAAGCAAACAAGGTTTTGGACGCTCAACATGTCAATGGCCCGATGATTGCGGATCTAGCGGCAAGCCAGGACATTTCGTTTGTACTCAGAACAGCCCTGTTCAAGGAGGTTAGCGTAGAATTTTCCTAGGGCACACAACAGGTCCGAAGCGCTGCCTAAAAAGAATAGAAGTGAGGGTAGAACTGCTTGGCTCGCTGGCTCGCACTATACAAGGTGGCGGTGTCTGCATTTATGTTATTTCTCACTTTGCTGGAACCGTAGTCCAACGATCTACAGGATCCACTGTAGAGATATTAACAGTCCGTTTCCGTATTGCCACCAAGCCACGTGCAACAGACATTAGTGTGTCCACCTTGCATCGCCCACCGCAAGCCACAGTGGTTTTCTGAGACAAGTTGAGCTCTGAACTTGACTAAGCCCTTCAAACTCCGAACGCATTAATCCTAAGCGACTTCATTACTGATGTTCTCCAGCCAACGACTCCAGGATATCGCCGTCTACAGCGTGTCTGTGCGGAACATCACCTCAAAAATGTTATCACTGAACCCACTCGTTAAGCACGCACTTGCCTACATCTTGCTCTGGTTACTGACGGCTCCCCTGTAGTCAAAGCGGACGAAGTCTCAATGAACGGTGTTAGTGATCACGATCTCATCATTGTCCAATGTGCCTTTCAAGACCTTGAGCCCATTCCTGCGCAGACGCACAGACTGATTCGGAAGCCTGCACCACATTCTATGGATTTCGACCAATGTGGCCAGGAAATCACTGCAAGTTTCAGAACTTGGGAGTTGCCCGCCAGCCTGGACGGTCAAGTGAAGCATTTTTCCAATTGTTTGAGAAATGTTCTGGAAATAAAATCCCTCATCACTCAGCCCAAGGTGTCTGGACTTGGCAGGCCTCGTCGGCAACCATGGGTTACGCCACACTTGAAAAAGCTTCTTCAGCTTCGAATAAACTTACACAGGAAATTATGAAGGAACCCAGCCGATGGCCCCCTCCTCCAGCAGTACCGGGCAACACGGCGCGAAGGAACCCTCTTGAATAAGAAACTCAAAACAGAATACTGCGTTAAGGCCTTCAACACCCGCAAACGCAAACCCAGAGCCCAGTGGCTAATCCTGGACAAGCTTGCAGGACGAGAAAAAGTCAAATCCTTAGTCCTTACCTAAGGCGACTATATCCGACCGGACAGCCACATTTGCAACCGTAGTTTGTGATCCTTCCAGACCGTCTGAACGTGTTGTACCCAGCCCACCAGTCGCCATTCCCACCCTCGACGAGTTTACGCCAGTCACAGTAGAGTATGTTGAAGATGTCTTGAAGTCATTGAACAGCCACAAAGCACAATGTTCCGATGAAATACCACCATGTTTCCTCAAATGATGCCGCACAGACATCGCTGGTCCACTCACCGCAATCATCAATAAGTCTCTGCATACAGGCCAAGCAAGTCCTCTCCTCTCACCCAAGCCATTCTGCATAAGCGAAGCTGTGGACGCAGCATACTGCTGCTACACTTCAACGCGGGAATGCGTATAATAATAATAAGAATACAGGCCAAGTTCCAAGTAGTTTTAAGCATGCACACGTGTGCCCACTCTACAAAGCTGGCGACGCAACAATTGGCTCCAACTACCGACCAGTGTCACTTTTGCCAGTGATATCTAAAGTTCTTGAAAAGGTGGTACACCGACAACTTGTAGCATTCTTCGACAATCATCCGGAACTCGGTGCACTACCGGAGGAGCAGTTTGCTTACAGACGCAATCACAGCTGTGAAGACCTTTTGGCGTATGCAACAAACGATTGGCAGTAGGCCTTGGACAAGAAGCAGCTGTGTGGAGCCTTGTTTGTGGACATGAGCAAGGCCTTTGACCACGTTCAGCATAGCAAGCTCGTGCAGGAACTGGCTTCAGTTGGCGTCGGAGGTGTGGCATTGCGTTGGTTCGCAGACTACCTTACTGGGAGAACCCAGCAGGTCGTTGTCGGGGATGCCCGAGGCAGTACAGAGCCCTGCTAACGTGGTGTACCACAAAGCTCTGTGTTAGACTCCTTACTTTTCTGCATTTATATCCGTCGTACCCCTCAGAAATTTCAACATTGCCGTGCTCTCCTGTTTGCGGACGACATCGCGCTCTACGTCATTGGTCGCAAGGCTTCTACCGTGCTCAAAATGCTGCATTCAGATCTCTTCAATCTGGAGGACTTCCTCAGCAAGCGGGGACTGGTGCTGAATCCCAAAACGTCTTAGCTACTGCTGCTCAGACGACCTACTGCGCAACTGGACGTGATCCCAAGCATCAACTGCAAATGCACCGTAATCCCCGAGTCCAGCCATGTTCTGTACCTTGGCTTCCTACTGGACTCGTCGCTCAGCATCGAGAAGCAGATTGAGCGTGTGTGCGCCAAGGCACAGTGCAAGGTTGCCTCATTCCGCCGCGGGCGCCGCGATGTCTCTATGACCGGCCGCCGCATGTTTTACCTGACAATTGTCCAGAGTACCTTGGACTATGCCAGCACATGTTGTGTTCACCGGTTGTCTGCTAAACTCCGAGACAAACTTGAGTCAACCAGTAATAAGTGCCTAAGGTGAGTGTTTGGCCATGATCAGTATACTTCTATCGATTTCATTCTCACCAAATATAACCTGTATACTTTCTCTCGCCGTGTAAACTTGAAGCTGTTTGTGCTTGTTTTTAGGTGTCTATCTCGTTGCACCAGTCCTCTTTTAAGCACGATATTTACCCCTCCGCACTGCATCATGCAGCACAAATGCTGCTACCCGCGGTCAAACTTCAGCCGCTCTGAACCTACCCAGAGCTACGCCCCGTTAAGGCCTGAATGCTATTTCATTTTTGACAGCAGACAAGTGGAACATGCTTCCACCTGGATGTCGTCAAGCTAAGCCCCTTTCTGCATTTGTCACAAACACCAAGTCATTCCTAGGGTTCCCAGTAAAAAGGCAACGCCTGTTGGGAGTTCCCTAGTAAAATAATAAATTCTACTAATACTACTAGGGGTGTTGTGGGTGGGTGTATGTGTGTGTGTGTTAGTGTGTGCGTGTATGTGTGTATGCGTGTGGGTGTTACTATGTGTGTGCGTGTTAGTATGTGTGTGTGTGTGGTGTGTGAGCGAGATTAAGCGCGTACGTGTTAGTGCTAGACCTGCGCCTACTGCATCTGCCTCTGAAATAGCCTTTCCCTGTATACATTCACGCGATTACTCCTCTCGCTATCGTATTATCACACCTCTCTCCACTTAGATATACCAGCGCTGTCTCCTATTCCATTATCGTTGTCTAATGATTGGGTCAGCCATGAAACTCTGACTCGCAACGGAATTAATTTGCCAAGGTTTTCATTGTGTGCCTTTGTGTACTACTACTACACCGTTATGAGTGGTGTAACAGTCACGCCCAGGATGTTTCTTTGTGATAATTGAATACGCCATTGTCTCATAACGTGACGCCTCAGTGTTTGCGGTGCGAAAGCAGGTTTTGTTGTTGTTGTTGTTGATCTTTTTATCTTTAACCCTTTGGAGTCCATGGTTCGATTTCGAACCATGGGCATTTTGTATGCATGTGTGCGCAGTGATGCTGTAACCATTATCTATCCGAGTGATACTTCCCTAGATAAGCAAGCGAGAACCAGACTCCCGCGATTATACCCCACTGGGGAATAGTTGCACTGTCTCAGAGAGTCAGAGGGTAACAATCTCTAAGAGCTAGTGGATAAAAACAAATCCCTCTCTTGAGTTGTGCCCAACTAAGCTCCTGTGAATGTTTGGTTTTCTTTTGCAAACAAAGCGCCTATGCAAGTTTGGTGCTGTTTTGCTAATGGACTTGTCCATGCCATTGCACTGGTGGTTCAAGGATCAAAGTAATTGTTCCCGTTCCTGCTGGTTCAGGAACGCGTACAGAAAACTATTATGCTCCGTTTTATGCTGGATGACGCAAATGGATGAGAATTGCGTAATTTCTTGAATAGTGGGATTACGGTTCGTTGCTTTTATATAATTATCGTTTCGAACATACCTTATTATCTCGAATATATGCACAGTCTCCAATAATAGCACGTCTCCAAAGATAGAACACCTTGGGGCGGCATTTAAAAAATAAAGTGCTCAGTCTATATAAGCACACTGTGTAAATTCATTATCTGTACCGGCGAAAAAACAGAAATGGGTGTCTGACATGAATTTGGCCATGGCAACATGCCTCTTAAATGAGGTTGAAATAATAAAAGAACAGTCTCCAATAAAAGAACGTCTCCATTAATAGCACGGGGCGGAGGTACATTGAAAAAATAAAGGACCGTGCTTATATTAGAGATAATACGGAAGACATGCAGGGGAGAAACTATGATCCACCTTTCAGTCTCTGACCTTTGCTTGCACGACAAATTCGACAGTTTTTATTTACCACCATGGAGCGGAGTTTTCACATAAATGTGCACGTTAAAATAATGACACAGCCCCACTGCACCAACTCTCCTACAGATACAGTCTAATTGTCAAATCCCAATCCAACACAACAAAGATATTCGCCTTCAAATTATCCGGGCGTTGAAATGTCAGAGTCTGAGTTCTAAATCACCTACCGTCAACAATCAATTCCTATTTTCTTTTCCACCGTCTTACACTCCCTGTGCCACTTTAGCTTAAAAAAATCTCTGCTGCGATAGATTTCAAACACTCAGCCCAAAATGTTAGCCGAGAAAAATACTCGCGCAATAATAGTCGATTCACACCAGCCAAACTTGCAAACAAACAAACGTCAGTTGAAAATGGAAATCTTTGATGGTAACCGCCCAAATTATTATTTGAGACTTCAATTCAGAGTTGAACAACCCCATTCCTCAAGTTTTCCTGCCTGTTGCTTTTGAACTGCGTGGAATTTTGTGTATTGAGCAATCTTTTTCAGGTAGCTCGAATGTTCCTATACATGTATATGTCAAATGTTTCATTATGGCTGTGTCGGAATGCAATCTATGTTTTTGTGAAGATAACTGGTACGTGTGCTCCATGAGCAAATCTCTTGGACTCATGGAGTTACTTTACATTTCAACACCTGAGACATTTGATGAGGCAACCACCGAGTGTGCAGGGAGAGGCAGCATTCTGGCCAATCTCCAGAGCATAAACCATACAGAGTGCGCAAGGTCAGTGCTTGGACCACGAAATGTTCAATGCAACAGTTCCTCAAGCGATAACTGCAGAAATGCCTCTTATGGCTGCGAAACCAATACTTGCAATGTGTGGGTTGCTCTACAACGACCATCTAAAAATTGGACATGGGTGTTGCCTGTTCCATCCACACCGAGTACAATTCCCTGGAAAAATTCAATAACAGGAGTTAGTGGACAGCAAAAATGTGGTTACTTTTCACCTGAAGAAGATGGTTTCGGAATCGAATCTTGCACAATGAAGCTAAGTTTCTACTGTCAGAGATATACACCAAATGGTAAGGTATACTAGCTTTAACTTCACTAACGTGTAGTTGTCGGTGTAGCGTTAGTAATACTGGTTTAAGAAATACATCCCTGACTTTCAACACTTCGCTCTTTCCCGGACCTACAACACTATAGTATCGAATGCATTCACTGTGTAAAGAAGAAAACAATTCAAAAATTATACTATGGGCAATTGGCAATAAATGAAGTTTCGAAAGGGTAATGCACTTTAGCCAATCCAATATGTAACTCGGCCCCTGACGTTTACAGCGACCACTACAACCATATTACCTCTATAGTGCTCGCCGTGTATTTATCCATCATACCCGGTGCGAAGATAAAAGGAGATTGGCGCCACCAAAATGACAACACAGTTCAGATAAGTAAACATAATATATAACCAGAATCAGCTGAAGCGACATGGTACGTATGTAAAGTGGTGACGGACAAAGAAATCAAAGTATTGTAATGTTCACTTTCGTTACGTTTGACAAGGAAATTCTCATTGGTTCCTAACATTAATTCATCTCCATCTTCAAACTTCATGTATCTTGATTCCAGTTTCTAATTCCACTTTCTCGATTTCCCCAGTGAGGGTTTTGACCTGTATTGCCAAGCCGTTTGGCTTACTTGCCGACCGATAATTACGTGATATCAAAGTGAACAATATAGAGGTTCAACAGATTTTTTCCCGTTACATTGGCAGTTCAAATGGTCCATGCTATGTTTTCTGACATTTATCACCTTCCAACATAGCTGGCGACTCCACCGAAACTGAGATCTTCGCACGTTCAGTGCAGCCACAGATACTTCGGGCATGGATATCTGGATTCTGCTTTGTTGGAATAATTGAGCAGTGGTGCAATATGATGGTACAGCCGATTCCATATTTACTATATGCTCAAGGATCGTGGAGTTGGTGTCCAGCAGAGATTTAGGGCGATAGTTACCAGGTTCCTACCTGCTTGACTTGTTCTTAATGTGAGCACAACCACTGCATGATTACTCTCAACAGGATAAACCTCGGGTGATAGAGAATGGTTGATGATAAGAGAGAGGGGTTTTGGGATAGAAGATGTTCTAGACTTCTTGGCCTGAGGTTTGTTATAGGTTTGCTGAACCAAAATATCCTCACCGAACTATTGGAGACGGGAAAAATGTGTTCCTGCTCGGTACCACACGCTCGTGTGTTCGTTCATCATCTTTCTGTTCAAACCGGTTGTCTGCTGATTCCAAACTCCAATGCTGTTGAATTTCATGAATTCTGTTCAGGACATAAAACTCCACACATTTCGTCATGCCCTCCAAACTTCTTTTGACCACAGTCGGCAGACCTCATTCCTCTAGAATATTCCGCAATCAAGCAGTAATAAGAGGATGCAAAAAGTGTTTTACTCTCGAGTTTAACGCACTAAGCGATCATCAGAAAACAGTACCTATGGATACTCCGTAACTCTGGATACTGGTTTATATCCTCGAAACCCAAACTTGTAAAATTAATGACAACAGTAGTGAAACATTTCATCGCAGCATGAATTTGAAAAGCGTGAACGACACCAGTGGTGGAAGATACTTCAGTCTATACTTCCAGTTGAAACGCTTTGCTTGGTACATTGACCGGTCCAAAGTTACACGTTTTGTTCTTTCCCATGTAGCGCCTTCCAATATAACTCTCAACTCTACGGCAACTGAGATCTCGGCAAGGATATTGCAGCCACACATACTTCGGGAGTGGATAACTGGATTCTGCTTTGCGTACGGGAAAAACAGCACAAATTTCACGACTCCAGTCTGTGACACAAATGTATCCAGAGTTTTCGGAAACCTAAGTTCCAACACGTTGTACCGAGTCCAAGCATTTTACAACACTACGATCGGAATACACAGCAGCGTCTCTCCAGAAGACTACATTGGAACATTGCCAAAAGGTAAGAGGTACATAACCAAAATCAGAAACGTTTTACTAAAAAAGGTCAATTCTGTTACTAGAGGGAGATGAAAGAAGACTGCATTAATCATCCAAGCCCAGTGACCGGAATGTTTGTATCATCACGGCAATGAACGTAAGCATGCCAATTCCTTTGGTCTGATGTTCGCAAAAGATGCTCCATTGAACAATTAAATCATGGGGTTATTTTCTCCATAAATACGTTTAGGCTGACTAATGTAATTATTGACTCGGTTGGAATATAGGGTTACATGAAGTGTCTTGGTCCCTTTTCCTCCCTACAAGTGTAAGCATACGTGGAGATGTAATTAACGCAATAAATAGAGTTAGCTGCGCACTCAGTACAAACACATTTAGCAAAACTTGTTTCTTGGACGTTTTCGTGGCCATCTCTTCAGGAGGATTACTGCCAAATCAAAATAAAATCAAAACTCAATATATATACGCACAATGCAAGAAGTACTTTAGACCTATGTAGCGCGAGCACAGAGGGCTAAAAAAATTATAACATTCAACGATATCAGGTGACAACAAATGAGATAAATTCACAACCAGAAAGTAACCATGCATTCTTCCGTAACTTCAAAGCTTGTACTGGTTCTGATATTGTTGTAAGGGTGTATGAATATTCTGATGCTACCCCTTTTGTTCAGAATAGTGATGGTCGCTCTAGTTACATGTATACTGATGATTGGCCGTTTCCGTTTGGTCTCATTAACGTAGTCAAAGATATTCAAAGATACCAAACCGATCTTGTACAAGCAGAAAAAGAATTCGTTTACTTTGAATTTTTTTGTGAATTTAGATCAGTAGTTCTCGCTTCTTTTTGGATTGCATTGTTACTTTCTGGTTGTGTATTTATCTTATTCGTTGTCATCTGATATCGTTGACGAGTATAATGTTCTTTCAGCTCTCAGTGCTCGCGCTAAATAGTACCTAAGTCCCTACTTGTATTGTGCATATATTATATTGAGTTTTGAATTTATTTTGATTTGCCAGTAATCCCTCTGAAGAGATGGCCACGAAAACTTTCAAGGAACAGGCTTTATACCAGAAAACAAGTTTTGTTAATGGTATTTGTACTGGGTGTGCAGTTTACTCTATTTATTGCGATAAATATGGTTATGAATGTAGATTTACATTTTGAAAAGTGATGGCGTTCATAGGGATGCGGAAAACTCGGCCTCTAGCCGATGTTAGGCAAACCGTGAAATTATTATTAATGCTATTTTTTTCACGTCCAGGATAGTAATCAAATGGTCTGTGGGAGCTGCCCTAGTAAATATTAATATCTATATAATTATCGGAAACTCGGATGTTGAGCCAATAATAAATATAGAAAGGAAAAGGACACAAGGATACGAGTTAAGAAAGGAAAGGATATATGGAAATGAGTTGAGAGTAACTCTCCGTCACTGTAAACAGATACTATATAAAGTCAGAAAGTGAAAAGACTACGCACAAACCTGACAGAGTACATAGATATCGAATTGTAGTTAGACCGTTTTGTCAAGTTACCTACTGGTCTCGTAATCGTCAAGTAAGAATCGAGACACTTTGTTCCGTTGAGACTGTAGCTTGTGCTCGTTTTCGCTCCGCTGGTCTTTGGTATTTCCATACCCTTGAACCTTCCAAGTTGGAAGGCTGACAGTTAGCGCTACGGAGTTGTGTTGGAGCTAGGTGTCAGGACGTCGAATGTCTCAGTACTCTGTCATTTTTGTGCCAAGTCTTTGCACTTTCTGACTGTATATAGTATTTGGTTACAGTGATAGAGAGTTACTCTTATTAACTCACTTCCATATATCCTTTCCTTTCAAAATATATATATACATTTTTCCACAAAAGGACGAAACAGTTCTGTCCGCAGATTGAGTATTTCGCTCCTGCTCTTGTAGCAGTTAAGCACTCTTACGTGGGGTAGTGCCTTTGCTGTTTGGGTTATGCAGAGCTCACTGACTGCGGACAGAACTGTTTCATCGTTTGTGGACTCGTCAGCGCAGCACAGAGAAAATGAGGCCGAACCTGATAGCAATGGAAATAAATATTTCCAATCAGGCCCAAATGTACCTTGCCAGAGTGCTCAAACTGAGAAGTCAGTGAGCTCTGCATAACGCAAACAGCAAAGGCACTACCCCACGCAAGAGTGTTGAACTGCTACAAGAGCAGGAACGAAATAATCAATCTGCGGACAGAACTGTTTCGTCCTTTGTGGACTCGTCAGCGCAGCACAGGGGAAATGAGGCCGAACCTGATAGCAATGGAAATAAAAATTTCCAATCAGGCCCGAACGTACCTTGCTTATATTATATCTAGAAGTCTTACCATCTCTTCTCAATTCATTCATTTCTCACTCAATTCCGTTAGTTTTTTTGTGATAAACATTTTTTCATGAGACTTAAACCCTGTCAATACAATCAACTAATGAGCACAATCATGCACCATCATGATGCAAACGATATCGTGCACATTCGTTTGGTAACTGGTTGAACATGGTGGGTGATTGATGGTGCGGGTTTACGTCAGAGCAAGTGTGATTGAGAACAGGGAGAGACTAGTAGATAGAGAGAGATATCAAGACTTCAGCACAGGCTTATGACTGTAAAGGCTGACACGTTTTTCCTGTCACACAATTATTTTATTATACACTCAAAGATCTGAGAAGAAAGGTGCTGCTCTAAACGTTGAAGATCTCTTTTTCTGCTTCCTGACGTCAAAATAAAATGATTTGCGGATTATGCCAATGTCACAACATCATAGCTCGTGTATCCATTGAAAATCACTTCTGGCCAAATGTCTGCAAAAGGTGCAAAATAGGGTGCAGGGCACACGAAGGGGTGCTACCTGCTCTATACTGATAGGGAGAAAGACACATTCGAAGTGGGAACCTAACAACACTGTTGGCTCATGATCGCATACAAAACGCATCGGCACCGATTCATTTGTGGAGCAGTTTCAATCTGTGATTATATCATAGCTGGGTGGGGCTACCATCAGACTATGAAAACTGAAAAACTCATTTTCACAATAAACACCATTGTTCCGTGTAAGCAACAAACAAATAATGCAATCAGCTAACACAACTGTGTGTCACTTGTCAATTCTTCCTGAAATACCGTACATGTTATGTGTTTGTCCACTTTCAGCACCAAAACCGCCTCTCGAAACGAGCATCTTCAGTTCTGCCATCACCGTGCTGCTAAGTCCGATAGAAGTAGGCAACCTTCCCATACTTCATTACTGTGCGGCCGGAAGACCAGCCATTGATCAGAATAGGAAACTGCCGTCGGTCTCAGCATGCAGCGTTTCTAATAGAGTCACCTTAACAGGTTTGACTATAAACACCACCTACATCATCAGTACGTATATTAGCAATGAATACGGAGACAGTGAACAGTCCAAATCCACTCGCATCACCACTCCGCCAGGTAAGTCATTACTTTATTATGTAATTCTTATCTTATTTTATGAGGAATTTCCAACAGGCGTCATCACCTTTTTACAGGGAACCCTAGGAATGTCTGAAGAGAGCATTTCTGAGAACACCAAAGTATGTAGGAAAGTGGATCTCTCCGATTTCGCTCAAACTTTGCAGGTATGTTCCCTTTGTGGTGTAGATCGATTGTGCAAAGCCCTTGACAATTTTCTGAAGGGAAACTTAAAATTTGCATACCCTCAAAAATGGCCTATATATCAACCTATTGATTTTATGGGTCTACAAACGAGTCACGCCACAGCGTATACGAACAAGCTACGAACAAAACTCCATCAAACAAACATTGCCTCACCTTCGGAGAGTTCCTGGAGCACTACCGCTTAGCCATGCCAGGATTTCAGAAGACGAGGGCCTTCACCCCTGACGCCACAAATGATTGTCTTGAAAATAGCTAATTTACAAGCGCTGGCAAAACAGCCAGCTACGTTCTCAATTGGCAGTAGCTATACACCGACAGATAGTAGAACACCTCTTCTAGCGCTGAGGACATGTCCCCCATCTTCCTTTTGGGGCTTTCTTGAAATAAACTTTTTTTTCATTTTTCCACTCGACCGTGCTGAAGTACGGCTAAAGTCATACCTGCGCAGGAAAGCTCGCCCCTCCGGGATGTCTCCTCAGCAATTTCTACTCCAACACTACTCCCAACGCTGCACAACATAGTGTGTTGTTGGAAAAGCAGCGGTGATCACGTGTTACTCCAAACTACAAGCTTATCCTCGAGCCACCAACAATTTGTTGGGTGACTGTTTATGCAAAAGCGACTGAAGTCCTGGGCGTGGTTTTTGAATTTTATTTCAAGAGGTAAGATGAGCTGCATTTCCTGCTTGATCTGCTGAGAACCCCACACAAACTGTCCTAGGAGTGTTGCAATGGCTGCAAGCCGTTGAAATATGCCCCTGTACAGCATGGAGAGTTATTCGTCTTTCACACTTACTTCCTGCAATCCCGAACACAGTCCAACAGTATAATGTCCCTTGTTTCATGTCGACGCTCGACAAAAGCTGCTAGCTCGGTCACTTTGTGTTGACTGGAACAGGATCAGCATTGGCTGCACGCACTTGTCGCGTGTCCTGCTCGAGAAATTCCTTACGTCCTAAACTGCTAAAGAACGTGATCTTACCATCATTTCACTGGTCTTAGAACTACATGTTCAGGGAAAGTCCCGGTTCATAGGCCTACAACAATGTCAGCATGTTCTTGAGCGCAGTACCATCACGAGAGTGATCACCTCTTTTTCTTGTCAGTGTCAACAATACACTTTTTTGCGGCGCTGGGAGTAGTGTTGGAGTAGTAATTGCTGAGGAGACGTGGTGGGTGGAGCTTTCCTGCACAGGTATGACTTTGGCCGTATTTCAGCATGGTCGAGTGGAAAAATTAAAGAAAAGTTTATTTCACGAAAGCCCTATACGGAAGAGGGTGGACTTGGCCTCAGCGCTAGAAGAGGTGTTCTACTATCTGCCGGGGTATAGTTCTTAGTTCTTATAGTTCAAATGAGGACGTAGCTGGCTGTTTTGCCAGCGCTTGTAATTTGGGTATTTTCATGACGATGATATGTGGCGTCAGGGGATGATGGACCTCGGCTTCTGGGATCCTGACGTGGCTAAGCGGTACTGCTCTAGGAACTCTTTTAAGGTGAGGCAATTTTGGCTTGATGGAGTTTTGTTCGTAGAAGCTGTGGCGTGACTCGTTTCTAGACCGACAAATAATGTGATATTTCGGCCATTTTGAGGGATGGCCAAGTTTCAAGGTTCCCTCCAGAAACCTTTTCAAGGGCTTTGCAAAATCGATCCATACGTCAAAGGGAACCTACCTGCAAATGTTTAAGTGGAGTCGGAGAGATCCCATTGCACACATATTATGGTATTGTCAGACATGCTCTCTTAAAGGATGATCGAAATTCAGCAGGTGAATTAGAAAGGCAGTATGCAGGTGGCTGTGTATTCCACCGGTTAGCACCTACGTAAGAAATTGCACTGAAACCATACCGTGTGCTAGCAGGGGTTAAACCGGCGTCATACGGTGATCAAGAATAGCTTTGGATCGGGTTTGAAGATGATGATCCGTGGACGGTTGACGGGGAGAGTAGCTCCAACTATTTTAAGTAGTAGATCCTTTCGCCTGAATCATCAAAGTGGCGTGTGTACTTGTAATCGATTTCAGGCAATGTCCAGCCTCACCATGGTACCATGTGTAACAGGTAGCCGAGTGGTAGGCGGGGTGAAATCAACAAGAGTTAGTTTTATTCTACTTCTCTCAGGTACACACCTGAGATATAATTACAACGCTCATGCCCGTATGGGGTGATGAATGTGGTCATTGGACATGCCTGCTAACTCAGTGGGATTTGCCAGTATCCGTGCCTTGCGTCAAGCTTGGTGAGGAACTGTGCCGATCCAATACCAGAAACCACATCGCGAGCAGTGCGAACAGGGTGGGCTGGTCTCAGGACTTGGTCATTCAGTTGTTTGAAATCGATGGTGAGGCGTTTCTCGGAGGTACCTTTCTTGTCGACGAGTACAATTGGGTGACACCATTCACTAGGCACACTGACAGGCTCGATTATGCCATCGACAACCCTTGTGTCCAGTTGTGACTTGACCTCGTCACAAAACGCGTACGGAATCAGGCGTGCGGTATGGACACATGACGGCTTAGCATCTGGCTGAAGTTGGATGTCCATTGGAGGACCTGCCATCGCCTTCAAGCCAGTGTCGGAAAACACGTCCGAGAACTCCTGCAGTAGCTCATCGCGAACACGAGCGATATCAGCAGAGTAGGATTGACAACAGGCTTTGATACAGCACGGACCTCAGGTGGCGCGGCAGCATTAGCAGCAGGGTACTGTGCAGGCCAATCTGACGGGAGGAGCTGGAGTGCACTCAAGGACGAACGTGATAGAAGAGCATCGTCCAGACCCTTGTACACGTGGATTACGGTACTGTGTTGTACTTCGCCAACCTGAAGTGAAGCACGAATACTGCCGACGTTCTGCAACTGCTCTCCAGATGCCGCTAGGACGCACTCTGGGTCATGGTCGAGGTTCTCGGGGAACCCGCCAAGCAGTTCGAGATCATGCTCGCCAATGGCATCGACGTCACTGCCAGTATCAGGGACCCAGGGTAACGTGACTGCCTGATCCTCAGTGGCCAAACAGGTGGACACATGCACTGCAGGCTGCGCAGCAAGACGAGTACGCTGCAACTTCAGTTGGCCCACATGCTTCACGTTCCGGTCCGATTGTGACGACGACCTACACATAGCGAGAAAGTGACCAGTCTTGCCACAGCCATTACATTTCTTGCCGCTGGCAGGGCAACTAGACTTTGTGTGCGGGCTCCGGCCGCAATTGGGGCACTTCTTGTGTGTGTCGCTTCCTGACGAGGGAGCGGATGGAGATGGCAGTACAGGTGCAGACATCTTGCTGCCAGGCTGTCCCTGTCGGGATTGTTGCTTGCTGCGTTGGTACGCGGTCCGCCGCACAGCATTGAGCTGGCTGGTGGACGGGATACTGCTGCTCGTCGTGGTAGCCGCTTCCTCCGCCCGGCAAATTGTGACTGCATCGTTCAGGGTCAAGTCCTTGGCAGACAATAGCTGGTGCCGGGTAGCGTGGTCACCAATTCCAATGACAATCCTGTCATGGAGGGTGTCAGCAAGCACACGTGTCAGGCTTGTGCGACAGGTACTACATGTGTGTGCTGAACATTGTGAGCACAAAACCAACGTCCGGAAAATCACAGCTAGTGTGTAATTCTTTCAACGAAGTGTAAAAAGAATCGAAAGACTCGCCTTTCGATTGACACCTGTCGTAAAATGCCATACAATCCAGGAGTGGGTTGCGCAGCCGTCGCAATTATTCCTTGACTGCATAAATCACATCGTCCGCATCGGGATTCGGTGGAGTCATCATTATACACTCGCGGAGAAATCTGCGCAGCTCCTCATCTAGAGCTTGCCGCAGCGAGGACACTCTGGTCTCACGGCTCTGGGCTGACAGGTGCTGGCACTCATAATAGTCTCGCCACATTTCCTGCCATGCCGTGAAGTCGGCTAATGTCGAGGACGACAGGAAAATCGGTCGTTCCGCAGAGACAGGCTTTGGAGCTGGTGATGTGGTGTTAGGTTGCACGGGTTGTTGTGTTGGTTGTGTCAGTCGTTGTATAGTTTGTTGTAACAGGTCAGCCATTTTACGTTCCCTCTCCTCGGAGGACTTCATTTGTGCCGCCAACATCGCGGTCAGGGAAACAATGTCAGGAGCAGGTTCTGAGTCGGACATCGTGGTCGTAACCTACGCAAAGGCTGGTATCACGAACGAACTACAAAAAAAATCGACCAGTGCGCAACACAACAAGGTGCAAACACAAAGCACGAGAAACTAAACACACAGGTGAGTTCTACAAGGAACGAACTGTCCACTGCGCCATGATATGTCTACAGTTAGCAAGAAGACATTTATTATAAAGCCAATCTGAGTTGGGAAACACAATTGAAGAGGCAAAACACATGAAGCACGGAAGTATCTCCCAAGCCAAGCAAGCACGCCGTTATGGTACGAGGTCATACAACTGTGGTACAAATCTAGTACGGGAGTACATGAACTACAGGTCAAATATGGCATGGGGGAATCCATATACATCAGTAGATAACACAGCAACGACATACTAGTAGCTCGATTGTAAAGCACGTTTCGTCCCCGCTGGACTCATGAGGCAATCTTCTTCTTGAAAGTCTTCGCATGGGGCCTGATTAGGGAGAATGATACCTCACTGCAGCTGTACTTATGTTGATTATCATCTTGGCGATGGGCCTATGGAAGAACGACCGCGTCTTGCACTACATCGGTATGACGGACATGAACATGGGGCAGCTGACCCAGCAGTTGCCTGATGTAAAGGTGAATCACATAGCGCAATGAGGTCAGTAAGAACCCGCTACGCAGGCACACAATGTGACAGCATAGCAATGCGGCTTGTCAACCATGGGCCAGCTATCCAGGCCTCTTTTACGGGCAAATTAACACAATGGATTAAAATTCAATAAAGCATACGCTGGAGAAGAAATCAGAAAATGCGTGTGTAAAATAGAGATTTTCAAACCCAACCCCAACAAACCTGGGCCAGCTGTCCCTTGTCTTCGGGCAATCTACCACGGCTGTTATGAACCCACAAGTTCTCAAGTGTGAAAGGCTTTCTCGATTGTGACATGTTGTTCGTTTCAATGCAGTTGTATCTCGACCCCGCCGTGCCGCTGATGTTTACGATGTGTTAAATTATACTTATAAAAACCTCCATTGATTGTCGTGTAGGGTTAGACGTTTCTATACTTCATACACACCTGTATAAAAACCTGGTGGCTATGAAAAACCTGTATAAAAAACCTGCCGGCTATAAAAAACCTGTATAAAAAACCTGCCGGCTATAAAAAAAACCTGTATAAAAAACCTCTTTTTAGGGGTAGATGAGAACAAGAGATAAGAGTATTCACGAAAACAGTACAAACATATGCAGAGCAAGATCAGAAGAGCACAAATTGAACTGGAAAGGTTAAATAGTCCACTCAAGAATGGTAAGATGAGAGACACATACATATGATCAAAAGGAGAGAATTGAGCTACTCACTCAGAGCCTGCGTGGGTCCATTGTCGTCATCCCATCAGCAAAATATTCTTTGATGAGCAGCCAATCGCCATCAGACAAACTCTCCTTGTGGCATACAGGAGCCTCGCGGCCTCCTTTTTTCTTGTCCTTGAGGACGGCATCGAGGAGCTTGTTGGCCTTGACAAACACGCCACGCTTCAAATCGAAGCCCCGGTCACGGTCATTGACTTCTCTCTGCAAGGCTCCTCTTGCCGCTATTAGACTGGCCCGTTTATATTCCTTCTCGTCATGAGTTCTCACGGAGCAGTAAAACCTTTCGAGGATTTCCGCCAGTACCTTGTCTTCCTTTCTTCTTCAGAAACGGACGCAAAACGTCCAGTGGACGTTGAAGAAGCCATTACACTCGTAAACCAAAATAAACAACACGAGGAGAAAGTTGAAACACGAGGAGTAAGTTCGAGCATGCACCGAAATAGGTACGAAAATCGGTTTTATAAGTATAATTTAATTAAAATACATACTTCATCCTCGTGTTTACTCGAATTATAAAAAACCTCCACAAAACGCTCGGCTTCGCCTCGGGTTTTGTGTCGGTTTTTTATTTCTCGTTAACACCTCGGACTCAGTATGTATTTTATAAGTATATGCTACATGCGCTACGTGCGACTTGCTGTGTGCGCTGTATTTGCATGTTGTATGTGTAAGCTTTTCTGATATATGAAAAGGCGACGAGGGTACAATAACTCTATTAATGCGATTAATAGTACAGTAAAACCTGTAACTAACGACCACCCCTTGCTGCCCGGAAAAGTGGTCGTTAGTGGCAGGTGGTCTTTAGTTAGAGGTTTGCACCGCGCGACCATATATGGATCCCATTATATGATATGTATGTCAAAATGCAGATAATACAATCCCCCACCACTTGCGCACTGACATTCTTCTTTCGGATCATACAACACTTGGAGAGAGAGAAAACCAATTTTTTTATACACCGGAAGCGATACGACCTTTTGACACGTATACGTATGTCGACTCACTGGGTTTCCAGAGCAGCGCTGGCCTGGCCAGGCAGTGGACTAGTCACTATCGACTCCATCCTCATCTGTGTGCGACTACACTGGCAACTGGTATAAGTGTGTAGATCTACAGTGGAAACACAGTCGCTCCGACTTGGATGTAGTGTAGCGTAAACTGTACTGGTGTGTACCAGTAGATCTACGTGATGCGGCGATGTTGCGAGTTTTCGCACCTTCACTGTAGACTATTATCCGCCATCGTATCCTGGCCTGTGTTCCGTACAGGTGAGTACCGTAGCATGCTAGCTAGCCAGCACAGACTGTCAGTGTGACCTAGTGACTGAGCTGTGTGATTGCACTTCGACAGAGAGCCGCTCAGTCCTAGTTTCTCCTTCGAGTAGTAACATCGATCAAAGAGCGCTTTGGATGCGCTCTCCAAGACGTTTCCTATCATGTTTGTTCTTGACAGCACTTGAAATTATGACAGGTGTAGTGCAATCCACACTGATTCCACAGTAAGAATGAGACTGCGCTCATTTGTCCAGCTGTAGTATCGAAACGACCATGGAAAATCTTCAAAATTTCGAGAAGGAGCTTCAAGCAATGTTTGATTTGCTACATCGCGGTCGCTAGTTACGGGTCAAAATTCGACATTGGCACAAGAAAAGGCGGTCGCTGGTCGCGTTCAGCAGGTAGTCGCTAGTCACAGTGCATTTTGAATGTGAGACCGTCCGTCCCTGACAAAGTGGTCGGTAGTACCAGGCCGGTCGCTAGTCACGGTGGTCGCTAGTTACAGGTTTTACTGTATAAGTGAAGCGGACATTACAAAATGATGAATGAGAATACATGTATCTAAAATGGTTGTTCCTAATCGATTTTCTTGAGACTATCATCAGGGAAAATCGTCTCACAATAGAGGCTATACGGAGAAACAAACTACTTATAAGTTATCGGATAGTGGGAAGTATACAAGGTGAGGTGTGAAAAAAAAACTAAAGTGGGAGAGAAGATATACGCTGTCATTTTCACGCTATAACTACAAGATGTTTTTAGTGTTAGTTATTAGTTGATCGAAGTGAAAAATACTGTTGAAGAGTAAATATTTGTCCTCGTGCCGTGTGGTCACTCGTTCCTGACAATTTAGAGAATCAGAAGGGTTCACAACATTTGACGACTACGCCAGGATTGAAGCAAGGATGGCAGAGGAACAAACTAATTTGGAAGTCAGCCTTATCGCCAAGGAAATTCGGTACGGATTTGAAGGCGATAGGTTGATGGAACACGTGGAGAAGAGGCTCCGAGAGTGCGAGGAGCGTTAAGAGCGCATAGGACAGATGGCAGAATCTCTATTCTAAGTCCGGTAGGCAGTGCTGACGAAATTGGACCATAGCAGAAAACGTTAAAACTCCGGTATAGGGCGAAGACAGGGAGAAACGTGTGGTAACTTCTAGAAAATGAACGTGCGGATGTCCTTGCACTAACGGTTGCAAATTTGTCTTTCTTTACTTATATCATTTCATTCTATTTCCTTTTCAGGAAAGAATCTATAGGAATTATTATGTTTTCGCGCTAAAACTCACCCTGGGCCACATATTTTTGTCCAGTTAAAATGGGGAGCACTATTCAAAAGAGGGTGCTGTTCGAAAACGTGTACTAAGGGAATCTTCTAAGGGCCGAAGCCTAAGAAAACACCGAGCCGAAAGCTTACTGTAAACTAATACGATTCATCGATACGACAATGAGAGCTGGGATATTGATCCTGAAACTACGGGGGGAGGGGTTTATACTAATCAAGAGAGAGAGAGAGGGAGCTTGGTGTTTTCACTGTCTCTTAGAGAATGGGGCATAACTTGAGAAAGAGTGAACTATCCAAGAGATGGCTCTTTTTGCGCGAGGACAGTATATGGAGATGTCTGTTGTATTCACAACAATAAATAACACGCGATCAAAATCCCGTTTCAGGGAGATAAAAGAGTGTAAGGCAGGAATTCTTAAAGTCAGAACGTTGAGCGCGCAAAAATGCTTCTTCTGAATGCATAATCCTGGGTTACGCAAATTGGGGACTCCACCATTGAGTGTACAAGCACAAGTAGCATACACAAAAACAAAATACTTTTATACATCACAGTACCTTGGGTTTCTCACAAATTAATTAAATACTTCCCGGGATCAACAATAATATCGGGATCTGTACAATGTTCGCAATCAACCGAAACCTCCCTCTCCACCCCTGCGCTCACCACCATCATCATCCAATCTTGTTCTATCCTTCATTGACCTCCTCTTTCTGTTTACACTGCTCCCATATACATATACTTGTGCTTGCTTCTGCATAAATTGTAATTCTGTGTAGTGAAATGGGATGCCTGTCCTCTAACCAGTGCTCGCACGTGGCAAGTCGATTGGACCTTTCAATGTGAACGGAAAACTTGGACAGAAGCAAAAGCAGAATGTCAATCATATGGCGGATCTCTAGCGACTGTGCACACAATGGCTCAGGTGACGTGTGCAAACCTGACAGTGAAGGGAATTTCCGCTGTGTGGGTAGGCTTGACTGGTACATGGAAAGCTGGAGATTGGAGTGCTTGGAAATGGGAAGTGGCATCGTCCACCCGTACGACGAGACTTCCCTGGTCATCCCAGTATACACTTCCGTTTCAAAACTCTAGTTATACTTACGGGTTTTTTGATCCAAACAAGGGGTTAGTGAACTGGATAAACAACTTTCCAGCTAAGTGGCTCTGTCAACGATATGTGCCTAAAGGTAGGTTTATATCCATTGATCTACATGATTAAACTGAAGGAATATCTCTAATGATCTGGATCGGTACGGGCCACTCCTCTGATTAAATTAGACATTCCATTTACTATTTAAACCACAATTTCCCAAAACGAAGACCAGGGATATACCTGAATACATTTGAAAGAGAAACAGGGCATTGGATAATGTTCGGTGTTAGCGAATGGTAGGTTCCCGAATGTAACGAGGTGGCAATTTAATACACCATTTCACTCGCACCTGAAAGCAAAGCTTCACTGTACTTGCGTCTAAACTAATGATGCTTGTAAGATCAGAGCCCTCTTATATGTTCATGAATGCAAACCCTTAGTAGACAAGACTGCTCGACACTTAACTCATGCTAATATTCATGTACAAACAAGGCCAATCTAGGCTGCTCCAGGTAGAGAACTAAACGCACGACAGAGGCGAAAGGCTGTGCAGATGTAACTTTACATTTCACGCATTTCAGCAATCATCAGATAGCAGCATTTACAATCGAATCCTCGACGAGCAGGTCTAGCTATTTTGTGCTAGTGTGGAATAAAGTCTGTATGTGTGAAATGTAGATGTGTCTATGGGAAAATGCAGTTGAATTATTTATGACAGTTAACCCTAGGACGGCCACCATTTGCAGTACTACTAGAACGGCCAAACGGTGTCATTTGACACCTGCATACATTTCCATGTCTAAGACCTATGATATAGGTTATAATAGTTTTTGTTTTCAGTGCTGGCTTTCACTATCGGCATTTATGATGTACACAACAAATTAGGATTCACCCAGACACTATTGTTGGCTATGCGCAACTGAAATACAATGTACGCGTAACGGCAATGGCGAAGAATAAACTCAATTACTGGCAAAACTTCAATTACTTGCATAGGAATTTCTTATAATCACAGAGTTACAATAACAAGCAATGTGTCAACGTCACTGGGCACATGAGTAACCGTTTTTCGGGAATATCTGCTTTGGCAAATCGGATTCCTCGTCGTCACGATGAATGACACACAGTAACAAGTACAAACATGGACCGACTATGAACATCATTTTTTCACCAAGCTGACACATATGCTGCTAGAGATGGTTTAGGCTAGTAACGATTGCATTTTAGACTCGTTCAAAGAGGTATACCCTTCTCTTCTCCTTGGCTGGCCCTTAGCAACCAGATGCCATAACTATCTACAAGTATATTGACCAGTGCAGGAATGAGCGTTTTCTGGATGTGCATGAACTAGCAAAGGTCTGGGATTATTGTGAAGGCGTTGTTTCCTGTCACATCTATTCATTTATGTAACCGCCTTGCAGGGGGACATCCTCTGGAATAGTCTTTGTTGAGTAGATCCACCACATTCCATCGAAACAATCAAGGACATATCTCGTCTTTTACTAGAATTGGACGATGTGGGGCTTCCTACTCTCACCATGTAAAACATATGGCTCTAGGTGGTCCACACTAGGCGGGCCACTGATAATTCTTGCTACTTCTACCTTCTATGTCTACCATCTTTGCATCCAACAATGTAATCTTGAAAAACAAAATGCAATCCGCGATTATTGGCAATGAAGTTAGATGGTAGTTCACTTCAATTTATCAAAGTGGTTCATACTGCAACTCTTTATTCTCCAACAGTTTCTTGACCAGTAATGCACTGATGATGAAGTTATCAGTTATGACTTAGCAATCACCATCCGGGGCCAATAAAGAGAGAGGAAGCATCCCAGCGGAGGAGGAAGAGGTTTGGTACAAGAGCCTTATTAGCTCGGCAAGTAGTTAGAAAGGATTATCTACACAGAACCATCCTTGCGATAATGCGGTGTACCATCTCCAGGTTGCAGAGTTGCGATTCCTCTTCCTCAACACTATCCATTTCGGGTCTCCACCACTGCTGCAACTGCTTCTGACAATTCCTTGTCTGGACTATCCCGCAATCCTCGTCCGCTTTATGGAGGCTCGTAAACCTCAACACATTCTGAATCCACAGGTGGTACTCAGGTGTTGTGACCGTACAATTCGCCTTCATATGACAGAACAGATCCACCACTGCCAATGGTCACTACGCTTGAACACCCATCAAATGAAGATAAAATGGTCAATTTCGCTTTCATGGTCATCAGATTCATGCATGGTAATAGGCTACATCCGTTCCAGTATTTCCCTGGCCGTCAGACCGTGATGGCTTCTCTGGGGCAATTTACAGTAAAATGAAAGGGAATGAGCAGTATCAAGGACATTAGCTGAAGAGTGTTTGTGTAATCTGTGCACTAATGGTTACCCGCCCCAAATTCGCGATTCTCGCCCGACGGTTGTATGGTGATCATATATTTCGTCCTGTATTCAGCGAATTTCCTGCCCATGCACCCTTCTTTTGTCTGGTTGGCATACGGGCAACTCGATATGGCCGACACCTTCGAAATGTGTTCATATTGTTTCCATCTAGCTGCAATAATGGCTTTTTATAGTGCAGGTGTCAAATGACACTGGTTGGCCGTTCTAGGTATACGTACTCGCCATTATGGTACCTCGTCAATTACAAATCAAACGTTTATGGCAGACGAAAGAGGAAGAAAAATTATGAATAGTCACAAGATTTGAGCTTATTCTGATTAGCCATATTTCGGTAATTCCAAAAGTTTGACTCGCGCGGTGTCAAATGACACCGTTGGCTGTTCTAGGGTTAACGAATAAATATGAGAATAGAGGGAATAACAGGGCAGTGCCACTGAGTAATCGAGGGCGATTGCGACAGTAACGCAATGACATACTGTATCAGGCGTGAAGAGGGAGAGAGAAAGCACCGTGACGCCAAACCTGGTACAGATGGCGCCATGTTGAAAAACCAATAATGTGACTGATGGTGAATTTTTTAGATAGGTAAAACTTGTTTTCGTGTCTACAATTCTAGACCAGCTCCGATCTTGTGTTGATATTGACCATTTTGTCTGCATCCAGGATCGCCGAATTGTTAGCCGGGTATAGAGCACGATGGTTTTCTAGTGTGCTCCAGACGTAGTTGTGAGTCGGTCAAGTGTCTAGTCAGTCGGCAGAAAGCAGGAGCTCCTACGTTCAGTGCAGACAATTTCTTTACTTAACTCAACCGATGTTGCAGCATCTTACGTACCATAATATCCATAATATAATATCCATGTTCAAAGCAAGAGACAAACACAGGACAATAACGTCCCTGACAAACGATGTAGCTGCCGAAAAAAAGCACCGGCTCACTGGACGGGGACCTCCAAAGACGATGCATCGTGTTCAAGGCAACAGTACAGCACACAGGAACAGAGCGGCGACACGGGCACCTCGGCTTTGCGAAAACACCCTTTAAGCAGAAATACAACAACCATGCGACCGAGACAAGGCATGAGAGAATGGAAGAAAGCACAAAACTCTCCAGGAGCATATGAAAGCTCGAGCAAAAGAAAACTTCACGGTCTGTCCAATGGGCCGTCGTCCCCCATCATCACGGTCCGGGGCTACTTGGACGCAGTCCACTATGCTGAGAAGTTGGAAACACTAGAAGCAGACACGGTGAACATAGACAAAAAGTCGTAGTTGGTATCGAAATGCAGACACGAGCACAAGTGTTACCTGTCCAAATTCTATGAATCAGTTCCACGAGTTGTGTGTAAACACGGTGCCACCTGTACCCGGTTTGGCACCGTTGTGCTTTCCCTCTCTCTCTCTCTCTCTCTCTCTCTCTCTCTCTCTCTCTCTCTCTCTCTCTCTCTCTCTCTCTCTCTCTCTCTCTCTCTCGCTCTCACTCTCTCTCTCGCTCTCACTCTCTCTCTCTCTCACTATCGCACCCTCTCTCTTCACCCTTTCGATGTTCTTCCACTAATGTCGTTCTTGCCCCTATTGGCCATCTTCATAAGTGGTGAATATTGCTGAATATTCACCGCTTATATTCACCACTTACCTCATATTCACCAATTATATTCACCACTTTTCGATACTGACATGAACTGTAAAGAGAGCAGTACTCGGTGCTGCGCTTGATTCCTCTTCAGTCAGCGCACCGGAGCTGTCGAGTGCCCTAGAAGATTTCTACGCTAACTAATACTTCCGTGGACAGGACTTTTCTGATTACAAACGAAATTCCTGGCTTGCCATTGCCGCTGGATCCGCATGTGACCAAGTGCTGACATTGAGCATCTTTACAGACGGAGCGTTCCAGCAAGCAAACAAGGTTTTGGACGCTCAACATGTCAATGGCCCGATGATTGCGGATCAAGCGGCAAGCCAGGACATTTCGTTTGTACTCAGAACAGCCCTGTTCAAGGAGGTTAGCATAGAATTTTCCTAGGGCACACAACAGGTCCGAAGCGCTGCCTAAAAAGAATAGAAGTGAGGGTAGAACTGCTTGGCTCGCTGGCTCGCACTATACAAGGTGGCGGTGTCTGCATTAATGTTCATTCTCACTTTGCTGGAACCGTAGTCCAACGATCTACAGGATGAACTGTAGAGATATTAACTGTCCGTTTCCGTATTGCCACCAAGCCACGTGCAACAGACATTAGTGTGTCCACCTTGTATCGCCCACCGTAAGCCACAGTGGTTTTCTGAGACAAGTTGATCTCTGAACTTGACTAAGCCCTTCAAACTCCGAACGCATTAATCCTAGGCGACTTCATTACTGATGTTCTCCAGCCAACGACTCCAGGATATCGCCGTCTACAGCGTGTCTGTGCGGAACATCACCTCAAAAATGTTATCACTGAACCCACTCGTTAAGCACGCACTTGCCTACATCTTGCTCTGGTTACTGACGGCTCCCCTGTAGTCAAAGCGGACGAAGTCTCAATGAACGGTGTTAGTGATCACGATCTCATCATTGTCCAATGTGCCTTTCAAGACCTTGAGCCCATTCCTGCGCAGACGCACAGACTGATTCGGAAGCCTGCACCACATTCTATGGATTTCGACCAATGTGGCCAGGAAATCAGTGCAAGTTTCAGAACTTGGGAGTTGCCCACCAGCCTGGACGGTCAAGTGAAGCATTTTTCCAATGGTTTGAGAAATGTTCTGGAAATAAAATCCCTCATCACTCAGCCCAAGGTGTCTGGACTTGGCAGGCCTCGTCGGCAACCATGGGTTACGCCACACTTGAAAAAGCTTCTTCAGCTTCGAATAAACTTGCACAGGAAATTATGAAGGAACCCAGCCAATGGCCCCCTTCTCCAGCAGTACCGGGCAACACGGCGCGAAGGAACCCTCTTGAATAAGAAACTCAAAACAGAATACTGCGTTAAGGCCTTCAACACCCGCAAACGCAAACCCAGAGCCCAGTGGCTAATCCTGGACAAGCGTGCAGGACGAGAAAAAGTCAAATCCTTAGTCCTTACCTAAGGCGACTATATCCGACCTGACAGCCACATTTGCAACCGTAGTTTGTGATCCGTCCAGACCGTCTGAACGTGTTCTACCCAGCCCACCAGTCGACATTCCCACCCTCGACGAGTTTACGCCAGTCACAGTAGAGTATCTTGAAGATGTCTTGAAGTCATTGAACAGCCACAAAGCACAATGTTCCGATGAAATACCACCATGTTTCCTCAAATGATGCCGCACAGACATCGCTGGTCCACTCACCGCAATCATCAATAAGTCTCTGCACACAGGCCAAGTTCCAAGTAGTTTTAAGCATGCACACGTGTGCCCACTCTACAAAGCTGGCGACGCAACAATTGGCTCCAACTACCGACCAGTGTCACTTTTGCCAGTGATATCCAAAGTTCTTGAAAAGGTGGTACACCGACAACTTGTAGCATTCTTCGACAATCATCCGGAACTCGGTGCACTACCGGAGGAGCAGTTTGCTTACAGACGCAATCACAGCTGTGAAGACCTTTTGGCGTATGCAACAAACGATTGGCAGTAGGCCTTGGACAAGAAGCAGCTGTGTGGAGCCTTGTTTGTGGACATGAGCAAGGCCTTTGACCACGTTCAGCATAGCAAGCTCGTGCAGGAACTGGCTTCAGTTGGCGTCGGAGGTGTGGCATTGCGTTGGTTCGCAGACTACCTTACTGGGAGAACCCAGCAGGTCGTAGTCGGGGATGCCCGAGGCAGTACAGAGCCCTGCTAACGTGGTGTACCACAAAGCTCTGTGTTAGACTCCTTACTTTTCTGCATTTATATCCGTCGTACCCCTCAGAAATTTCAACATTGCCGTGCTCTCCTGTTTGCGGACGACATCGCGCTCTACGTCATTGGTCGCAAGGCTTCTACCGTGCTCAAAATGCTGCATTCAGATCTCTTGAATCTGGAGGACTTCCACAGCAAGCGGGGACTGGTGCTGAATCCCAAAACGTCTTAGCTACTGCTGCTCAGACGACCTACTGCGCAACTGGACGTGATCCCAAGCATCACCCGCAAATGCAACGTAATCCCCGAGTCCAGCCATGTTCTGTACCTTGGCTTCCTATTGGACTCGTCGCTCAGCATTGAGAAGCAGATTGAGCGTGTGTGCGCCAAGGCACAGTGCAAGGTTGCCTCATTCCGCCGCGGGCGCCGCGATGTCTCTATGACCGGCCGCCGCATGTTTTACCTGACAATTGTCCAGAGTACCTTGGACTATGCCAGCACATGTTGTGTTCACCGGTTGTCTGCTAAACTCCGAGACAAACTTGAGTCAACCAGTAATAAGTGCCTAAGGTGAGTGTTTGGCCATGATCAGTATACTTCTATCGATTTCATTCTCACCAAATATAACCTGTATACTTTCTCTCGCCGTGTAAACTTGAAGCTGTTTGTGTTTGTTTTTAGGTGTCTATCTCGTTGCACCAGTCCTCTTTTAAGCACGATATTTACCCCTCCGCACTGCATCATGCAGCACAAATGCTGCTACCCGCGGTCAAGCTTCAGCCGCTCTGAACCTACCCAGAGCTACGCTCCGTTAAATTAAGGCCTGAATGCTATTTCATTTTTGACAGCAGACAAGTGGAACATGCTTCCACCTGGATGTCGTCAAGCTAAGCCCCTTTCTGCATTTGTCACAAGCACCAAGTCATTCCTAGGGTTCCCAGTAAAAAGGCAACGCCTGTTGGGAGTTCCCTAGTAAAATAATAAATTCTACTAATACTACTAGGGGTGTTGTGGGTGGGTGTATGTGTGTGTGTGTTAGTGTGTGCGTGTATGTGTGTATGCGTGTGGGTGTTACTATGTGTGTGCGTGTTAGTATGTGTGTGTGTGGTGTGTGAGCGAGATTAAGCGCGTACGTGTTAGTGCTAGACCTGTAACAGTCACGCCCAGGATGTTTCTTTGTGATAATTGAATACGCCATTGTCTCATAACGTGACGCCTCAGTGTTTGCGGTGCGAAAGCAGTTTTTGTTGTTGTTGTTGATCTTTTTATCTTTAACCCTTTGGAGTCCATGGTTCGATTTCGAACCATGGGCATTTTGTATGCATGTGTGCGCAGTGATGCTGTAACCATTATCTATCCGAGTGATACTTCCCTAGATAAGCAAGCGAGAACCAGACTCCCGCGATTATACCCCACTGGGGAATAGTTGCACTGTCTCAGAGAGTCAGAGGGTAACAATCTCTAAGAGCTAGTGGATAAAAACAAATCCCTCTCTTGAGTTGTGCCCAACTAAGCTCCTGTGAATGTTTGGTTTTCTTTTGCTAACAAAGCGCCTATGCAAGTTTGGTGCTGTTTTGCTAATGGACTTGTCCATGCCATTGCACTGGTGGTTCAAGGATCAAAGTAATTGTTTCCGTTCCTGCTGGTTCAGGAACGCGTACAGAAAACTATATGCTCCGTTTTATGCTGGATGACGCAAATGGATGAGAATTGCGTAATTTCTTGAATAGTGGGATTACGGTTCGTTGCTTTTATATAATTATCGTTTCGAACATACCTTATTATCTCGAATATATGCACAGTCTCCAATAATAGCACTTCTCCAAAGATAGAACACCTTGGGGCGGCATTTAAAAAATAAAGTGCTCAGTCTCCATTATAAGCACACTGTGTAAATTCATTATCTGTACCGGCGAAAAAACAGAAATGGGTGTCTGACATGAATTTGGCCATGGCAACATGCCTCTTAAATGAGGTTGAAATAATAAAAGAACAGTCTCCAATAAAAGAACGTCTCCATTAATAGCACGGGGCGGAGGTACATTGAAAAAATAAAGGACCGTGCTTATATTAGAGATAATACGGAAGACATGCAGGGGAGAAACTATGATCCACCTTTCAGTCTCTGACCTTTGCTTGCACGACAAATTCGACAGTTTTTATTTACTACCATGGAGCGGAGTTTTCACATAAATGTGCACGTTAAAATAATGACACAGCCCCACTGCACCAACTCTCCTACAGATACAGTCTAATTGTCAAATCCCAATCCAACACAACAAAGATATTCGCCTTCAAATTATCCGGGCGTTGAAATGTCAGAGTCTGAGTTCTAAATCACTTACCGTCAACAATCAATTCCTATTTTCTTTTTCACCGTCTTACACTCCCTGTGCCACTTTAGCTTAAAAAAATCTCTGCTGCGATAGATTTCAAACACTCAGACCAAAATGTTAGCCGAGAAAAATACTCGCGCAATAATAGTCGATTCACACCAGCCAAACTTGCAAACAAACAAACGTCAGTTGAAAATGGAAATCTTTGATGGTAACCGCCCAAATTATTATTTGAGACTTCAATTCAGAGTTGAACAACCCCATTCCTCAAGTTTTCCTGCCTGTTGCTTTTGAACTGCGTGGAATTTTGTGTATTGAGCAATCTTTTTCAGGTAGCTCGAATGTTCCTATACATGTATATGTCAAATGTTTCATTATGGCTGTGTCGGAATGCAATCTATGTTTTTGTGAAGATAACTGGTACGTGTGCTCCATGAGCAAATCTCTTGGACTCATGGAGTTACTTTACATTTCAACACCTAAGACATTTGATGAGGCCACCACCGAGTGCGCAGGGAGAGGCAGCATTCTGGCCAATCTCCAGAGCATAAACCATACAGAGTGCGCAAGGTCAGTGCTTGGACCACGAAATGGTCAATGCAACAGTTCCTCAAGCGATAACTGCAGAAATGCCTCTTATGGCTGCGAAACCAATACTTGCAATGTGTGGGTTGCTCTACAACGACCATCTAAAAATTGGACATGGGTGTTGCCTGTTCCATCCACACCGAGTACAATTCCCTGGAAAAATTCAATAACAGGAGTTAGTGGACAGCGAAAATGTGGTTACTTTTCACCTGAAGAAGAGGGTTTCGGAATCGAATCTTGCACAATGAAGCTAAGTTTCTACTGTCAGAGATATACACCAAATGGTAAGGTATACTAGCTTGAACTTCACTAACGTGTAGTTGTCGGTGTAGCGTTAGTAATACTGGTTTAAGAAATACATCCCTGACTTTCAACACTTCGCTCTTTCCCGGACCTACAACACTATAGTATCGAATGCATTCACTGTGTAAAGAAGAAAACAATTCAAAAATTATACTATGGGCAATTGGCAATAAAATGAAGTTTCGTAAGGGTAATGCACTTTATAAGTAGCCAATCCAATATGTAACTCGGCCCCTGACGTTTACAGCGACCACTACAAACATATTACCTCTATAGTGGTCACCGTGTATTTATCCATCATACCCAGTACGAAGATAAAAGGAGATTGGCGCCACCAAAATGACAACACAGTTCAGATAAGTAAACATAATATATAACCAGAATCAGCTGTAGCGACATGGTACGTATGTAAAGTGGTGACGGACAAAGAAATCAAATTATAGTAATGTTCACTTTCGTTACGTTTGACAAGGAAATTCTCATTGGTTCCTAACATTAATTCATCTCCATCTTCAAACTTCATGTATCTTGATTCCAGTTTCTAATTCCACATCCTCGATTTCCCCAGTGAGGGTTTTGGCCTGTATTGCCAAGCCGTTTGGCTTACTTTCCGACCGATAATTACGTAATATCAAAGTGAACAATATAGAGGTTCAACAGAATTTTTTCCCGTTACATTGGCAGTTCAAATGGTCCATGCTATGTTTTCTGACATGTATCACCTTCCAACATAGCTGGCGACTCCACCGAAACTGAGATCTTCGCACGTTTAGTGCAGCCACAGATACTTCGGGCATGGATATCTGGATTCTGCTTTGTTGGAATAATTGAGCAGTGGTGCAATATGATGGTACAGCCGATTCTATATTTACTATATGCTCAAGGATCGTGGAGTTGGTGTCCAGCAGAGATTTAGGGCGATAGGTACCAGGTTCCTACCTGCTTGACCTGTTCTTAATGTGAGCACAACCACTGCATGATTACTCTCAACAGGATAAACCTCGGGTGATAGAGAATGGTTGATGATAAGAGAGAGGGGTTTTGGGATAGAATATGTTCTAGACTTCTTGGCCTGATGTTTGTTATAGGTTTGCTGAACCAAAATAACCTCACCGAACTATTGGAGACGGGAAAAATGTGTTCCTGCTCGTTACCACACGCTCGTGTGTTCGTTCATCATCTTTCTGTTCAAACCGGTTGCCTGCTGATTCCAAACTCCAATGCTGTTGAATTTCATGAATTCTGTTTAGGACATAAAACTCCACACATTTCGTCATGCCCTCCAAACTTCTTTTGAACACAGTCGGCAGTCCTCTAACCTCTAGAATATTCCGCAATCAAGCAGTAATAAGAGGATGCAAAAAAGTGTTTTACTCTCGATCATCAGAAAACAGTACCTATGGATACTCCGTAACTCTGGATACTGGTTTATATCCTCGAAACCCAAACTTGTAAAATTAATGACAACAGTAGTGAAACATTTCATCGCAGCATGAGCTTGAAAAGCGTGAACGACACCAGTGGTGGAAGATACTACAGTCTATACTTCCAGTTGAAACGTTTTGCTTGGTACATTGACCGGTCCAAAGTTACACGTTTTGTTCTTTCCCATGTAGCGCCTTCCAATATAACTCTCAACTCTACGGCAACTGAGATCTCGGCAAGGATATTGCAGCCACACATACTTCGGGAGTGGATAACTGGATTCTGCTTTGCGTACGGGAAAAACAGCACAAATTTCACGACTTCAGTCTGTGACACAAATGTATCCAGAGTTTTCGGAAACCTAAGTTCCAACACGTTGTACCGAGTCCAAGCATTTTACAACACTACGATCGGAATACACAGCAGCGTCTCTCCAGAGGTCTACATTGGAACATTGCCAAAAGGTAAGAGGTACATAACCAAAATCAGAAACGTATTACTAAAAAAGGTCAATTCTGTTACTAGAGGGAGATGAAAGAGGACTGCATTAATCATCCAAGCCCAGTGACCGGAATGTTTGTATCATCACGGCAATGAACGTAAGCATGCCAATTCCTTTGGTCTGATGTTCGCAAAAGATGCTCCATTGAACAATTAAATCATGGGGTTATTTTCTCTATAAATACGTTTAGGCTGACTAATGTAATTATTGACTCGGTTGGAATATAGGGTTACATGAAGTGTCTTGGTCCCTTTTCCTCCCTACAAGTGTAAGCATACGTGGAGATGTAATTAACGCAATAAATAGAGTTAGCTGCGCACTCAGTACAAACACATTTAGCAAAACTTCTTGGACGTTTTCGTGGCCATCTCTTCAAGAGGATTACTGCCGCATCAAAATAAAATCAAAACTCAATATATATACGCACAATGCAAGAAGTACTTTAGACCTATGTAGCACGAGCACTGAGGGCTGAAAAAATTATAACATTCAACGATATCAGGTGACAACAAATGAGATAAATTCACAACCAGAAAGTAACCATGCATTCTTCCGTAACTTCAAAGCTTGTACTGGTTCTGATATTGTTGTAAGGGTGTATGAATATTCTGATGCTACCCCTTTTGTTCAGAATAGTGATGGTCGCTCTAGTTACATGTATACTGATGATTGTTCTTCCGTTTGGTCTCATTAACGTAGTTAAAGATATTCAAAGATACCAAACCGATCTTGTACAAGCAGAACAATAATTCGTTTACATTGAATTTTTTTGTGAGTTTAGATCAGTAGTTCTCGCTTCTTTTTGGATTGCATTGTTACTTTCTGGTTGTGTATTTATCTCATTCGTTGTCATCTGATATCGTTGGCGAGTTTAATGTTCTTTCAGCTCTCAGTGCTCGCGCTAAATAGTGCCAAAGTCCCTACTTGTTTTGTGCATATATATATTGAGTTTTGAATTTATTTTGATTTTCGAGTAATCCCTCTGAAGTAATGGCCACGAAAACTTTCAAGGAACAGGCTTTTATACCAGAAAACAAGTTTTGCTAATGGTATTTATACCGGGTGTGCAGTTTACTCTATTTATTGCGATAAATATGGTTAAGAATGTAAATTTACATTTTGAAAAGTGATGGCGTTCATAGGGATGCGGAAAACTCGGCCTCTAGCCGATATTAGGCAAACCGTGAAATTATTATTAATGCTATTTTTTTCACGTCCAGGATAGTAATCAAATGGTCTGTGGGAGCTGCCCTAGTAAATATTAATATCTATATAATTATCCGAAACTCGGATGTTGAGCCAATAATAAAGGTCGAAAGGAAAGGACATATGGATACGAGTTAAGAGTAACTCTCCATCACTGTAAACAGATACTATATAAAGTCAGAAAGTGCAAAGACTAGGCACAAAACTGACAGAGTACTGAGACATTCGACGTCCTGACACCTAGCTTCAACACATCTCCGTAGCGCTAACCGACAGCCTTCCAACTTGGAAGGTTCAAGGTTATAGAAAGACCAAAGACTAGGCACAAACCTGACAGAGTACATAGATATTTATGACCCACCCAAGTTGAGAGGTGTGCTACTTTCCTGCTTCGAATTGTAGTTAGACCGTTTTGTCAAGTTACCTACTGGTCTCGTAATCGTCAAGTAACAATCGAGACACTTTGTTCCGTTGAGACTGTAGCTTGTGCTCGTTTTCGCTCCGCTGGTCTCTGGTATTTCCATACCCCTGAACCTTCCAAGTTGGAAGGCTGACAGTTAGCGCTACGGAGTTGTGTTGGAGCTAGGTGTCAGGACGTCGAATGTCTCAGTACTCTGTCATTTTTGTGCCAGTCTTTGCACTTTCTGACTGTATATAGTATTTGGTTACAGTGATAGAGAGTTACTCTTAACTCATTTCCATATATCCTTTCCTTTCAAAATATATATATACATTTTTCCACAAAAGGACGAAACAGTTCTGTCCGCAGATTGAGTATTTCGCTCATGCTCTTGTAGCAGTTGAGCACTCTTGCGTGGGGTAGTGCCTTTGCTGTTTGGGTTATGCAGAGCTCACTGACTGCGGACAGGACTGTTTCATCGTTTGTGGACTCGTCAGCGCAGCACAGAGGAAATGAGGCCGAACCTGATAGCAATGGAAATAAATATTTCCAATCAGGCCCGAACGTACCTTGCCAGAGTGCTCAAACTGACAAGTCAGTGAGCCCTGCATAACGCAAACAGCAAAGGCACTACCCCACGCAAGAGTGCTGAACTGCTCCAAGAGCAGGAGCGAAATACTCAATCTGCGGACAGAACTGTTTCATCCTTTGTGGACTCGTCAGCGCAGCACAGGGGAAATGAGGCTGAACCTGATAGCAATGGAAATAAAAATTTCCAATCAGGCCCGAACGTACCTTGCTTATATATATATATATTTACACACAACAACAAGTTTGTAAGTTTCATAACACTAAAAGCTTTTCACCCATTTTCATCAGTAGGTAAATGGGAATGAGCAAGAACGAAAACGAAGCCAGAATTTATACTGGGGGTAGAGAATCAGCAAGAATATTCTTACGCGCCTCAAAGTTTGAGGCCAGAGCTGTTTCGACAAAAGAAGCACATCAAGGTGCTGCGGCTGTTCAAGCTGCAACCGGACTGACAACTTTATCACGTGTTTGTTCTGGTACTGCATTCCCTTCATGTGTTGTTTCCCGCATTTTTCCACTGCTCCATACATTCTTATGGTAGTGTAGTGTGAACTTGAGGCGCGTAAGAATATTCTTGCTGATTCTCTACCCCCAGTATAAATTCTGCCTTCGTTTTCGTTCTTGCTCATTCCCATGTACCTACTGATGAAAATGGGTGAAAAGCTTTTAGTGTTATGAAACTTACAACCTTGTTGTTGTGTGTATATAAATTTTGTTCGCCTACCTCTCTATTTAAATATATATATATATACTCAATCTGCGGACAGCATGCTGTTTCGTTCTTTTTGAACTCATCAGCGCAGCACAGAGAAAATGAGGCCGAACCTGAAAGCAATGGAAATAAAAATTTCCGATCA